GCAGGAGGAATCATAGTAGACCTTCAGTCCCACGCTTTAAGAGTCCAGCCTCCTGATTCAGTCCTGTTTCCATTGGTGCCGGCAGAACTTTACTGAAGGACAGACTAAAACTAGAAATAGGCAAAAAGCAGGATCTGTGGTTTAGTGTTGGTTTGTTTGGGTTTTTTTTTTTTTGGCATGAGGAGAAATGAGGTACACCGAGATAGGGGAAGACTGATCAGAAGAAGCAGTGTAAAGAAAGTGAAAAGGGAAGCGTTTTTCCCTGGTGCTCACAGCCCAAGAAGGAGGGGACATGAGCCGAAACTTTGAGGTGTATGGACAAATGGTGATACTTGTATACAACACACGAGCAAGCTCTGCAGGTTACTGCTATGGCCTTTTTGGGGCAGCAGCAAGAGAAGGGGGTTCAAAAAGAAGTTGTCAGACACACGGACTATTGAGCATAAAGGTAGCGATACCAGCTGCTGCTCAGGTAGTCTGTAAGTCTTAGGTGGGAATTTGGGATACCAGTGGAAACTTTGTTTTATACCTCACGCTGTTTTTATCCTTTTTTTTTTACAAGCGTGTAGTACTGCCACAGTCCAAGAGAGGCAGCTGGGCTAGCTGCACTTCTGATCTGAGCTGTTTCGATCAAGCCTTGAGAGAGTTAAAATATATATACATATACATACACATATTATGTGTGCATGTATTTTTTTGTACATACGTGTATGTTATACACATATATATAGTTATATGTATTATACTATAGTGCATAGTAGGCTCAGTATAGTCTATAGTAGGTTTGGCTCCTCTCTCACATGGACCAGCTTTATCACTTGTTTTCTGGAGAATTTCCTCTTGATTTATTCTGTAAGAGAAAGTAAGGTTCACTGTATGTTGAGCAAGCAGGTGAGCATCAAAAATAATGCAGCACCTGAAGTCCTTGAAAACAGCTGTATGTTTACTGTCCTCCACATTCCCTAACTCCATCTACTGAGCTTGGAAAAAGCAGCAAACCCATGTCTGTGAAACACGCATGCAAGATAGCAGCTTTCCAACTCGGGGGAAGCTTGCTTTTGTGGTGAGGGGCTTTTGTGGGATGGAATTAGACGTAGCCTGCCAAATCTTGCGAAATGGCCAACCACAGATCGATGGGCACGGGGGCGGGGAGGGGGAAACAGCTGTCAGCGTTAGAAAGGTCAGGCTTGAAAAGAGATATGTGTTTGGAGGCAATTTGACATGGCTTCGTCTCGAAGCATGGGAGGGGGGACTGTTTTTATGTAAAACCAAATGTCCATGGCCTGACCGATCAAAGCTTTGTGGGTGAAAACCAGTCCCTTAAACTTCCTCCGGAACCCATCAGTTCTTGAACATTCAGATACTGCACAGATACCAGATCATCATAAGTAAAGGGAAAGGCATCCCAGAGAGAGCCCAAGCACCCCGCCGGCACTACTGTCCTTCCTGTGTGGCAAAAGGAGAAGTGTATTCTGCGTGAGCCACCGGTTGTGTCACGGCTTGCAGAGCATGTTCAAGCAGCCCGTTGCCACAGCAACAAGGGATGACTTCGGAGAGCTTCAGACCAAAGGTTACTCAACCTCTCTTCCAGATACTTGCATCACCAATATCCATGACCGGTCTGGACTGAATCCTTGCTACCTAACTCAAAGTCAGGAGACTGCAGTTCTTTGTACTGACCCACCTGGGTTACAAGCCTCACTGGAGGGACTCCAGGACACAAGTGGCAGCCTCCCGAGTGAGCCGGCAAGTGCCTCCTCAGAGCTGGTGAACCAAATGTGTAAGACTGTGTCTCACAACGTGCCTGAAGAACCAGCAGTCTCACGCAGTTCCTCTGCTTTGCATGCCACTATGACAGCCACACCTGTGAACTGAACTGCTTGAAGTTCTTCTAAATAATATATCTTTATATATTTTTGCATGTTTTTTACACCAAGCGGTTTTACCAGATTTCCACTCTTCTGCTTTGGACAGACTGAGGGTAGGTGTCCAGCCTACATTTTCCTGTTGACACTTAGGACATAATTATTAAAGCAACCAGAAGCATATTCAGATCTGCACACGAGGTGAGACCTGTCAGAGGAATCTGAAGACATGATAGGCACCATAACAGCTGCTTCACAGAGCCTAAATCCTGGTCACTGCTTCATAAGATCATCAGTAGCAACAGCCAGATTCTTGACCAGTCGCTTCAAGATCACCATCTCAAAAAAGATTAGATGCTGGTTGTGGCAGAAGGAAATCCTGACAGCCTCCACTCCTGCTGGCCATTTCAAGCCTCTCCGATATCCTGGGGGAACAACTCTGGCTAGCAGTCAAGTAAAGATGACCCAAGGTTTTTTCCCTGCTCTGCGCTTCATTCTGCTTCTACAGTAGCGACCACTTCTGACCAGATTTTGGTAAATTATAGCTAATATTACAACATGCAGATGCTTCACAGGAGCAAAATTATGTAAGTCCATCACCACGTTTTAACAGATAAGAGTGGATCTAGTGCTGCCAGTTTTGCTGTCCTGTGATGCTGTGGTAGGACTGCCTTTACTTTCTTCATACAAATGGCATACCCAGATAAAACCGAAACCCCACCACTGGCTGGCACTGGTGCTACTGCCTGTGCTCCAGAACCTCTTCTCTCCTGCTTCACCTTCATTACCTGTGGACTGTGGAGGCCAGTGAGACTGAGGCACAGGACGCAGACACTTAGGGATCCTGGTGCTGCTAGCCGCTAGCGTATGCAGGCACATTCGTGCACAAAAGAGACAGGGTAAAGGCTTCCTGGTGAAGTTCACATAGAATCGTATCATAGAATGGTTAGGGTTGGAAGGGACCTTAAAGACCACCTATTTCCAACCCCCCTGCCCTGGGCAGGGCCCCCTTCTCCCAGCCCAGGGTGCTCCCAGCCCCGTCCAACCTGGCCTTGAACCCTTCCAGGGAGGGGGCAGCCACAGCTGCTCTGGGCAATCTGTGCCAGCGCCTCAACACCCACACAGGAAAGAATTTCTTCCTTATATCTAATCTGAATCTACCCTCTTTCAGTTTACAACTGTTACCCCCCATCCTATCCCTATACTCCCTGACAAAAAGTCCCTCCCCACCTTCCCTGTAGACCCCCTTAAGTACTGGAAGGCCGCTATAAGGTCTCCCCAGGGTGTTCTCTTCTCCAGGCTGAACAACCCCAACTCTCTCAGCTTGTCCTCATAAGGGAGGTGCTCCAGCCCCCTGATCATATCTGTGGGCTTCTTCTGGACCTGCTCGAGCAGGTCCATGTCCTTCTTATGTTGGGGGGTCCCAGAGCTGGACACGGTACTCCAGTGGGGTCTCACGAGAGGGGAGTAGAGGGGAACAATCCTTCCCTTAACCTGCTGGCCACACTGCTCTTGATACAGACCAGGATACAGTTGGCTTTCTGGGCTGCAAAAGCCGACAGAGGACATAGGTCCTCTGCACGTGCAGTCACGCACTAAGGGAGGTCCTCAGGATAAGGACGGGGAGCTCAGGGAGGCCCTCCTGTTTGAATAGGATGGGAAATCCTGTGTGCGTTTCCTGAAACCCCTTTTTTCCCCCTTGTGGGTGCTCCTCTTGTGCTCAGTCTCTGTTTCAGCTACCCAGGTACCTGCTTTGGCTTTCTGCTTGTCCCTGAGCATGAAGCAAGGATTACGTTGGGGGGGGGGGGGGGGGGGGGGGGGGGGGTGGGAAGGGGGGGAGGCACGGGGAGAGCAAGGGTTCTTCTTTTGATAAAACGTCTGGACAATGTGAATCTGTTTCTAGCAAGACACTCTTAAGTACTACAGTACCAGAAAAGGTAACATGTCAGGGCCTGAAACAGTGGGAAGGGTGAGAGGGGAAAGCAGCCTCTGCACCTTGGCGCATCCTTCTGCCAAACTGGCAGCATCGTGCCAGTGTCAACAGACCTGTAGAGCAGAGTTTCCATTTTCTACCCATTCTGGCCACTGCTGAGCTTCTCAGCACCCATCCTTCCTAAACACAAAACAAAAGTCCCTCTTCTCACCCTTACAGGAGCCAAAGCGGCTCAGCCCCAGCTGGCTGGGTGCCCACTTGCTCGGGGAGGCTCCCTGTGCCAGAGGAGCAGCACCCCGGCACAGCTATCGCACCCCCTTGCCCCGGCGTGGCTGCGACAGTTACCTGTGCTGCTGAACACTTTCTTGTGGTCTTGCACACAGCTTCCAAAAGCTTGTGACTCTGCCAAGAGCATTTAAACAGCTTTAAAGCACTGTTAATTGCAAATAACACTAATGCAATTTTGCCAAAAAAAAAAAAAAAAAAAAAAAAAAAAGGAGGGGATCTGGGAACACACACGCACACATGCACACACACAAACCTCAGGATCAGTTTTATTCATGAAATAGGAGTTTGGGGAACTTTCTGTTAAGGAATGCAGACAAATTTCAGTCTCTTCCTACGCCTGCTTCTGCCTGCAGTTACAGAGCTGTAAATCCCACTGACGTTAATAGCGCAGACCCTGGCCAAGCGAGGACCCAGGGAGGTGTGGGAGCAGCACCACGCGGGCAGGGCACGGAGCCGCGGGGCGGCAGCTCTGGGTGGTCAGCATGACTGATGTCCAGCTGCTGTCCCTGATGTCCAGCTGCTGTCCCTGACCTCCAGCTGCTGTCCCTGACCTCCAGCTGCTGTCCCTGACTTCTTCCAGCTGCTGTCCTCGGCTTGCCGCCGCCTCCGGCAAGCCAGGTGGGGCTGAGGTTTGTATTTGTCAGCACCACAGCAGGCTGTCGTTCTCTGCCACGGAAGACAGCTAAATAATCTAGTATTGAGTTGATGACCACCTAGCAGTGAAACCTGGTTTAGAGACATATGACCGTAGAGCCAATAGGCTGCACTAGTTATTCCTTCCAGACGGCACAGCAAAAATCTTCTGTTTTGACGTTGAGCTTTTCATAACCATCTCTTTAGCAATACAACAAATTGCAGTTAAGTGGTTTTTGCTTGTGTCTGTGGCACTAATCTCAATCTTTGTCCCGCTCCAGTTAATAGGCTGCATTATTGGCAGACAAGGCAGTAAGATAAATGAAATCAGGCAGATGTCAGGAGCGCAGATCAAGATTGCTAATGCCACAGAAGGCTCCGCAGAACGACAAGTTACAATCACAGGATCCCCTGCAAACATCAGCTTAGCACAGTACCTCATTAATGCAAGGTAAGTTTGCTTTGTAAGTGATAATGCTTCTGCGAGATGGCTCTGTCTGCTCTCCAGCAAATGTCTGTCTTGGGTAGATCCAGAAAGTTGCTTCACAGTGTCCATTTTGCATAGTATTATTCAATTTCTAATGACTTGTAAAGTCTGTATCATTAGAACCTGTGTTTGCTGTTGGTTTACATGGAAAGGAGCTTAATCTGATGCAATTCCAGGTATATGTTGAATGACAAAAGCTGAAAAATTGGAATACTCACATTAGCATCCACCTAGAATATAGGCGGATAAATTCAATAAAATGACAATCATAAATTCTTTAGAAGAAAATGCTTTTCACAGACCCATTTTACTGTCCTAAATGGCAAATACAGTGAAACAGATTGCAAAACAGATTTAATTTACTAACTGGAAATTGCCACTCAGAGTTGATATTAAACTGACATTTGGTTGCTAAAGAGGCACGGGATTTATTTTTTCAGAGGCAGCATCACAAATTTGTAAAAAGCATTCCCTAATGAGACCGGGTGAGACTATCTGCTTCTCCACTTCTCAGTGCCAGAATTAATGAAGGCACTGGCTGTTTAGCTAAGCATTGCGACGGCTTAAGTCTCTATCAGTTTTGATATGATTATTTAGAAAAATATTAAAATTGATACCACCTTTATTTGCAATTATCCTGAGAAGAAAGTGAAATGGATGTAGTGCTGTCTCATAGATCTACTTGTAAATGGTGGACTGAGGCAATATGTTGTGGGGAGGGGGAGTATCTATGTATTTTATTGCTTTTTTTCTTTTTTTTTTTTCCCTTTTCTTTCCCCCTGCCCCCTCAAATACTGTGATATGAATCAAGCTCTGTGTTTATGTTTGCTGTTAAGATAGTAGAAAGTATGTGATTTATATGGGGGGACTGTAGTCTTATCAGGTCTACAGCTTCCTATGGTCCAACCTCCTTTCCAGAGCAGTTCTGTAGTGCACTAGTGCAAGCCACTGTAAATGTCTTAATGGAAGAAAATTATGTTTGTGCAGCTCTGTGTTACAGCAAACAAAAAAAAATAGAACTTTTTATTATTCAATATGAAAATAGTTTCCTAGGGAAAGAATATTGAGGGGTGGCATCGTGAAGCCTAAGATAAGCCATTTCCAGAATACTAAAACAAACTACAGCTCTTTTGCTTTATATTCTTTGTAGCAAATATAAATCACTTCCGTAAGCCCTGTAATCAAATAAAAATGTGTTCCCTCCTTTAACCCTTAAGGATATGTTCTTCTCTTGGTGTTCAGGGATTCCCCACACATCGAGACGAGAATAGACCCCTTCATTTTTAGTTGCACAAACACCATATGGCATGCATCTGGATCTCAGAAGATAACAATTTAAGATCTTCAAGACAGCTAAAGCATGCAAATAAAATAACGCACTTATTAATGGAGTTGCAGTGAGCTGCTCACCAGAGACAAAAACTCTAGTGAACAAACCTCTGTTTGACTCACTTTAGAAAAGCCTGTGAACTCTCACATTTCTGTATATTACTGTTTAATGATTCTTTTGATGGAATGGGATATATATGAGGTCTTTTAACATACTTTTGCAAAGAAGAAAACTTCTTCAGCAGTCATATACCATGGATACTCTTATCTATACCCGGTGAAACCAGAAACAAAATGTTTTCCTCCTGTTGCATTTCTAGATAGAAGTCATTTGTTACCATCATCTACAGTAAACCGTCATATATTATTGTGTACCATGTGTTGAAACTGTATTTAGATGAAGTGACTTCATTTGTAAATGAAGACTCTTAATGTATAATAAATTAAGCTCTAAGGTAACATAGGACATTAGGGTGGCTTTTTCATTTTAAAAAGTGACATTGTTCCAGATTTTTCCTTTTGTAAGAGAAATTCCTGTCCAGTTAGGTGCCAGCACAGCAGCAGTGCTAGTTTGCAGTTGCACTGGAGGAAGAACTGAGAAACTTCCAGGCAAGAGAGAGGTCTGCTCTAGCTGGGGTTTAGGTGCTCAGGCAGGTTTCTGAGAGGAAGATCTAGGCTGCTGCTGCCTGTGCACGCCAGGAGCCAATTTGAGTGTTTTTCAGTCCTAAACCTGCCACAAGTACTGCCGTCTCTTTTAAAGATGTTGGCACAAAATAAGGAGTGTTGGGGAAGAGCTGAGTACAGTGCCCTAGACTGCCCAAGGTATAGTCTGGTATGTCAAAATAATAATAAGTAAAAGCCATATAAGCATTCAGGGTAAGGTGAACTTTTTTTTTTTTCCCTCTTCCCCCACAAGATCTGTCATTCTTGTGGATTTTGTTTCCAGGGCCAGTATTTCTGCACAAATCAATGTCTCACAGCAGCAAAGGATGTAAAAAATAAATCTATCCACAGTATTCCTGAAACGTTCTGTGTGTATCCTCCAACCAAAGTTGCATCTATAGAATAATTTATCAAATTGTTTTAAGACTTCTGTTGCAATCTGGTGTCAAATATGTACATAATATACTCTAAATTATAGATATATAAATACATTGATACAATATCAAGACAGAGATTTAAATCTTTCTAAAGTATCGTTTTGATTCTGTATTGATTATCCGAGTGCTCACCTCTGTATGAGTAGAACGTGTCCTAGCTTGTTTGCAGTAGAAGCGTCTTTTTTTCCTGTAAAATCTGTCTCTTAACTGGTCTCCACTGTAGTAACTGTATTTTCATTATCCAATTCCATCTTATAGCTTTTGTTAAGAATGAACCACAGTTTAAGTAAGTTTCCTGTGCAATATTTGACTTTGGATTATAAATGAGTTCTAGCTAACAGCACTTGCTCCTTGTTGAAGAGTAGTTTCCTGAAGATATTTTTTTTTATTGCCACTTTGACGAGATGTTCATTCAGAGAGCTGACAGGAGTGCCAAAGCCACACTCGAGCTTTATTCCTTTTGCCAGTTTTGTGTAATGCAGGATGTGGCCTTTGGTGTGCATGTTCATAAAGTGTAGGTCTTTGAAGGGGCGGTATAAAATTGGCACCATGAGATTTTGTATGAAGGCTGCCTCATCCACTTTCACATTCGATTTTGTTGCATCTACCATTGGTTTGGGAAACTGCCGCTGTCACAGGACAGCTGATAGCTAACTTGGCATACTTCACCTTATGTATTACCACTAGAAATAAATGTGAAGCAGGGCAAATTACTGCTTTAATTGCACCTGTGCGAGCACAGCAGAAACAGCGAGTTTGAGTGGCTGCTACCAACACCATTATTTAGCCTGTGGGATCTATTCTCCGTCCTGGTGCAGGTCAAAACTCAGACCCAAAAACCCCCGGTATCAGGAAGGATTTCTTTGTTTTTGTTAAATGCAAGGTAGGCAAATTTGGAGTCGCTGAGCCACTGAGCCCTGCATTATCTTTCTATATGCCTCCCTCCCAGAATAATACTGAGTTAGAAATATAAAAAAATCCAAATGCGTAAACTGAGTTTTTCAAAACCTACTAAGGTACCACCAGGTAACTCCTGCACCCTAAGTTGAAGATGCACACTGGAGTTGGATTCACTGATTCACTATTCTTAATGTAAATCCCACTGTGCGAGTAGACTGCAAGTAGCATGGCTAGCAGCACAAGGATGCTCTTCTCTCTGCGAACAGTAGCTTTGCTGCGAGGGTTAGAAAAATTCCAAGCTGCTCATCCGTGGGGACAGATAAACACCCCAGGGTTGGAAAACCAAAGCTTTACCTCCCACATTCAGGGCTGCATTTCACGTTCTCACCTTCCTCCCCTCCCAGCCCCTCAGAGAAGACATGTGCCTTCCGACTTCCCGGTAAAAGTCACCCAGCAGTTAATACTCCAAGAGCCCTCTTTCTTTTGCGAGGAAAAGCAGAGCTCGCTGCTCAAGCGTTTCCCTCTCTCCTCCACGCTCCTTTCCCCAGCTCGGACCCGCTTCAGGTCTCCGTTAGGCTCACGGTCAGCAGCAGTGCTTTGGGAAGCTTTATTCCAACGTTCCCCTCCCCTGCACAGTGCTGGCTGACCGCTTGCACCACGCGAAGCGGGCAGGCCTTCCAGCCGTTGCCTTTCTCCGGCCGTGAACACACCGGGGGCTGTTACTCTCAAAGCTGCGTGTGTTGCCTAAGGCGAGGGGCAGCGAGGCTCTTCCAAACCCTGAGCAGGGTGCCCGGGCTGCCCTCCCACCCCACAGCCTGGCTACCGCTGCTCTCTGAGCCGGCACACCCAGCCCCTAGCGCCAACACGGACCAGCACAAACCCTGTGCTGGGAAGGTCCCCTGGGTCGGATGGGATTTGGGAAGAAGGCGGTGGGTCCCCCGCACAGCCAGCCTCTGGCTGGCACTCTGCTCTGGGAGGGGGAAGCTGCTGCAGCTCCTCAGCTCACCTCAGGAGAAAGACCAGGAGCCTGGCAAGTTAGCAATTACTGAAAAAAAAAAACCCACAAACTTGGAATTTATACATGTATAACTGTAACCAGCAAAGATTTTTCTATCCCACGGTCCTATTTATATACTAGGCTGCCGTACCTCCCAGCTGGTCATATGCAAAATGCATCCTGAAATTAGCACTTAGGTTGTTTGCCGCCCCAAACGCCAGTGCACAAGCTGCAACAAACAAATGGCAAAGGGAGGATTTATCTAGGTAAACATTTTGTCATCTGAAAAAAAAAAAAAAAACCAAACAAAACAACAAAAAAACAACACGTCCTCAGAATTACTGTATTTTAATGTCTAAAAATGTACAGGAAAGCCTAAGTACATGGGCCAAACTCATCTCGCCTGCCAATGGGTGGAGTTAGACTGAAGCGAAGGTGGTTTGATACCTCTGCATCCTCCAAAGAGCCCATCACTGCCTTGGGCTTGGGGGTCGGGTCAAGCTGGACTTCCTCGTGCTGGCCGGGGTCCGTCTGACAATGTGTGTGTTGTATCCGTGTAGTACCTTGTCTGTCAGCTGGTAAGCTCTTTTATGTTCACTGTAACCACTGCCACAAGCTCAGAAAGGATCCTGCTGCTGTGGAAGCCGGAGTGTTTTTCCGTCTTCCTTTTTACTAATTTCCTTATAATTAGATTGCATAAATATTTTGTTGTGATTTATAAAAAAGCAAAAAAGAAAAAACCAAAAAGTCTGGGGAAAGTACAAACCGAAGTGAGCACACTGGCTAAGCAGGTTTGTTTTATATGAAAAATGCACACTGACCTCACAGTGAATGAAATGAAAAACTAACTTTCTAAAAAAAAAAAAAAAACCCCAACCCAAAACATTATACCTTAGATGGAAGCAGCAAATCATTGCTCAGTCTCCTCTCATCCAAGCAAAATGACAAAGGGTACTATTTATGTCACAAAATTGACAAATTGAAAAAAATTACAAAAACCCCCCGCGTCCCCCTTTCAAAAATACCGTAATTTTGAAAAGCGAAATTCACCATATCAGTGCTGGGGAGTAAACTTCATAGTTATTTTACGTTTTCTTTTAAGTTTCGTTTTTTCCATCTTTTTGCCATTACCTGCATTCCTTAGATTTCTTTTTTCATATGTAAAATGAACTAGCAAACCCCTCCTCAACCTCTTTTTTTTTTAAAAAAAAAGTAGAACTTTAGAGTCTCAGTAATGTTTTCACCATCGAATCATGGAAAACCCTTTTGTTATTTCTCTTCTTTAACACATAACATGTTCCTCCTTTGACCCTCATTTTCCCTTTTTTTCTCTCTCTCCCCCCTCTCCCTCCCACTCGTCTGTCCCCCCTCGTCCACCGATCTAATCCTGCCCTTTCGTGGTTGCCGTCCGTCCCTCCGTCCCTCCCTCCTCCTCCTCCTCCTCCTCCTCCTCCTCCTCCTCCTCCTCCTCTCCCTCCTCCTCCTCCTCCTCCTGGCCCCACCGCCCTGGCTGGACCCTCCCAACCTGTTTGTTCCTCTTCCTCTCTTCGTTTGCAGCTTAGAGATGGCTAAAGTCAGCACCCAGACCGCTTCCGTCACGACCCCTGTTGACCTCAACATGAACCTCTCTCAGTCTGCCACCCCTACCTCCACCCCCACCTCCATGGCCGTGCTGGCGGCCGCCTCCGCCGTTACCGTCAGTACCCCCCCTCCCCTACCAACTCTGCCAACCACCCACTATGCCGTTCCTGTCTCCAGTCTGCTTGGCATGAAAACTGTCCCACTCCTGGCACTAAATGCCGCGGCCGCCGCGGGGGCCACGGGGAGTTTGTCCGCTTACACTGCCAAAATTCCTTCGACGAGTGGGGTTAAGAAATCTGACCGCCAGAAGTTTGCTCCATATTGAAGGGATGAGACACAATGCAAGCTTTGCCAGCTCTACCAAGAGTCTGTGGTAGATCCTAGTTATCAAGGAAACAATACGGCATCTTTTATTTTCTGTTAAATTGCTAGTGTTAACTGTTGCCAACTCAAGTCGTCTTCCGCTATCCATAACAACTAACACCACCTACCAACTAGTTCCAACAGCGGGAGGGCACCAGCCTGGGGTCTTTCCCCGCCGGCCTGGGGGTCTTTCCCCGCCGGCCTTGAGGCCTTCCCCGCCGGCCTAGAGGCCTTCCCCGCCGGCCTTGAGGCCTTCGCCGCCGGCCTTGAGGCCTTCCCCGCCGGCCTGGGGGCCTTCCCCGCCGGCCTTGAGGCCTTCCCCGCCGGCCTTGAGGCCTTCCCCGCCGGCCTTGAGGCCTTCCCCGCCGGCCTGGAGGCCTTCCCCGCGGGCCTGGGGGCCTTCCCCGCCAGCCTTGAGGCCTTCCCCGCCAGCCTTGAGGCCTTCGCCGCCGGCCTAGAGGCCTTCCCCGCCGGCCTGGGGGCCTTCCCCGCCGGCCTGGAGGCCTTCCCCGCGGGCCTGGGGGCCTTCCCCGCCGGCCTGGGGGCCTTCCCCGCCCGCCTGAGGGTTTTCCCCCCTGACACCAGCCCGATGCTGGGTCCATGTCCAGGACTGGCCCTCCAGCACCCCCACAGCCCCTCAGGGTTGCCCCCACCCCAACAAGGAGACACCTGGAGAGAAAGAAAAAACATAAACGAGGCAAAATTTTGAGAGCCAGGACCTGCTCCGGCAATACTGCCTGGCATATAAAAATACACTTCTATCCATTTGAAGGGGTGCCTCCAACTGCACAACAATTTTCGCTGACAAATTGGCACCGCTGGTGGATTCTTCTTTTGCTAGAGTGTGCAAATCTGGCACTTCTGTTGACTGCTGGTGCCCCTGAAATCCCGCGTGAAGGGCTGGCCCCCTCGGGCGCTCTGCCGCTCTCGGCAGGCCTGAAGACTCCCGTCTTCCCTGCCCGTGAGCGGGAGGTGGGGGCCAGAAAGTACCAAACCACAGGTACAGCTGCGTACAACAAATAAAGCCTTCTGGCCAGAGAAAAACTGCTAGATTAAAATGATTGGAAGACAAGAAGAAAAAAAATACCAGGCACCTGTGCCTTTCCACTCGGTTCCTTTAAAGGGCGCAATAATTTTTCTCTGGCTTGGAAAAACGTAATTTTGAGAACTCTGCCTTAGGGAGGGAGAGCAGGCTCCTCATTGCACTCAGATGTTTTACCCATCTATCTACCAACAAAGTACTTATTTCTGTAAGTACTTAATAGTAGGTACAAATCAGACATGCACAGTCACTATTCTGGTACCTCCTCCCACATAGATTTGTTCAGCCAAAATGACCGTTTTTTTGTTAGATTTCTGTACAAAATAAATCCCTACTTAACTCACCACTAATCATGCAATCAGGTTGTGTTGTAATTACAATTAAAATCTAGTGCTTATCAAAGGACATTCAAAGGCTGCTGGCTGGATAGATAACATCCTTCTAACAAGAACTTAAAGATGTTCAGGTTAACTAAAACCAGACACCCAATTGCAGCCAAACCGAAGAGAGCTGGGTGATGTAATGGTTGGTTGCTAGCTGTTGGAACTAGTTTTTAACTGCATTTTCTGTTTGTCCATCCACCTTCTTTTTAATTTCTGTTGCATAACCCAGTAATGCAATATTGTTTTCCTCACCACTTCCAAATCCAGAATCCCATTAGCCCGCCATGTTCATCCACTTTGCACTCCTTGGACACAAAGCTTTAACAATTGAACTGTATTCAGTGCATTTTAATATAAACTAAAAACACAATGCAAATGCAATACTTTTTAAAACATGGTATTTCAAAGTGTGTTACTATCATTGTATAGGGCTAAGTACTATCTCAGTATTTTGTGTCATTTCTGTATTCTGTGGGCTTTTCTTCACCTTAGTACCTTTGCACTAAGTTTTGTCACTGTAACCATTTGTAGAACTGCCATTGTTACAGTTCGCACTTATCCAAATGGGGTTTTTGGTTGGTTTTGTTGGTTGTTTTTTTTTTTCGTTTGTTTGTTTTGGGCTTGCTTTTTTTTTTTTTTGTTTGTATATAATGAAGGAAAAACTGGAAATAATGTCAAGGTACCTCAGCTATTTAACAGCTCTAGAAAACTGCTGTAAAATTGTTCTGGACTATTGTGACTGTTTCAATAACTGACATTTAAAAAAAAAAAAAAAAAAAAAAAAAAAAAAAACCACAAACAAACCACGAACCTCTGTGTGAGAAAACTTGCCTGCATTGAAATGCTATTCTATGCTGGTTGTACTCAAGTGTTATTTTTTTAATAGTGAGAAGATTTTTTTTCTTTTTTTTGCCTTTTTTATTTTTTTTCTTTTTCTTTTCCTCGTTTTTGTTCCTACATTTTAGGCTGTCTTCAGAAGTTACTGGCCTGGGGGCTCTGTAATGTATCTCATCATGCCCTAGTGCATTAGCCACCAGACAGGACTTTTCCAAAGCCCCATGAGACAATGCTTTCTATGGACTAATCTACAGAGAAGTTTCTGCCATTTCTAACTTTCTTATTATTCTGAGACATCAAAAGAAAATACTTCCTTTACTCTTTAAGCAACTGTGCTTCCTAACTCTTCTGTTGCTTTCATTACTGTTCCAGTTTTAACACTGTTGTGGCTCATAACATAAAGCAAAGAAAAGTTATTTTTGGGGTATCTCATTGATGTTCATGCTTTGGCTAATCTGTATAAAAGCATGGGCCGTTAGTGTTCTAAACCACTGTATTCAGCTAGAGACTCGACAGCAAATTAAATGAGACGTTTTTATAAATAAATTTTTTTCTTGATTTAAAAAAAAAAAAAAAAAAAAAGACGTGGTAGCTTTGTGCATACAACTGTTGTGTTGTTTAAACTTTGTTCTTTGTAACCAAGTTGCTAATTTGTCATTTGAGAAACACTATTTTATGGATTGTCAAACTAAGATCATAGACAAATTGCTTGTTTTCATTAACGATTAAAGGTTTCATATCATCACGCTTAAGGTCCCAGTGCTCATTGGGAAAGAGTGTAACAACTGTGCAATACTGGCAACGTTAGAAAGTACATTAGCCCGTTGTCAGGGATGATGAGTCTTTTCAGGATTAGATGGAGCCAGATCCTGTGATTAGAAGAGTAAGCAGTATTTCTGCAAAACCTTGCTTGGTTTTTAACAAAGCTGCTCTTGGAGAGCTTCTCACACTGCATAGAAGAGACTGCATTTGGCTTCTTGCTACAAGAAGCCACCGGTTTGTCGCATCTCCCATGTTTTCCCATACTGATTTTAAGATCAGATACTAGGGAAAGAAAAACTGGAACAAAGGAACAACCTTGGGTACCGAGTACATTATTGATAAGACCTTTCGTATTTTCCCATTCCCAGCAGCACTGGTCAGTGACACGAGGCTTCTAGACAGCACCTTTCACCCCGCCGCCGCTGGGAAACTAGCCCAGCAGCAGGGAGGAACATGATAATTTGCATTGAAAAGGGGGCATGGAGACCTGGCCCAGGGAAGTGTGTCATCCTGCCCTGGCCCTCCGCCTAAGCCATTCAGCTCCTCCTTTGGCTCTGCTGAAGCACTGTGGTCACAGCCTCAAGCTCTCGCTTCACGGGAAAGGGGAAGGAAGGGGCTGGCCCCGAGCTGTGGCTGCAAACAGCACCCCGGCCGCGCCCCGGCCACCCCGCCGCTAAGCCAGCGGCAAGACTTTCACAGTTACTGCTTTATCCTCAGGAGAAAGCAGAGGCTTTGGCCGTGCAAGTGAGTAGCATCCTCCCAAATGGCGTGAGACAAATACTACAACCTCCGTCCCTGCTCTGCTAAGGTCTATGCTTGTCTCCGGGTATTTAGCTTGGGGTCCCGGTGCCCCTCACTGCCCCGGCTGAGCACTTGTGGGGCAGATCACTCTCATTTTCCATGGACTCTAGGGTACGGAGAGTTCCTACGTGTCTGGGTCTTGAGACTAAGCAGGAACTATGATATGAACAAGATGTGCATACGGACTTGGAGAACTGTAGCAGTTAACTGCTTTTTCAATACAGATGCAGCCACAGAGCAACTCTTGACAATAAAGGCTGTCAAGGAAGATTACAGAATGCCTCATTGCACCCAGGTAGCCTTACCCAAAGTTGAATTGGCCCTTCCAACCCTTAGGTTGGAAGAACTATAGGCTGTAGTACTAATCTTGGTAAAATTCCGTGTTATTATTACTTAAAATACATTTATATTACTTAAAATATGTTTAACTTCTTACTCTTGAAAGGGGAGCTGAAGCTGCTTTCATAGGAGAGTCCTCCATACTCTTAATTTCCTCAACAGCAAAAGCTATTTCTCTGGCTAGCCTGGCTAGTATAAATAGAAAAAAAAAAAAAAAAAAAAGAGAGAGAGAACATTATTGCAGCTCAATACTATGTAGGTCAAGGCTTTGCTCTTCCAGTAAAGCTGCTAGGCAAAGGGCAGCAGCAGCTCTGTCGTGTATAGCATCTTTCACATAAGTAATTCCCATATGCCTTGCAGAATTGACTAGAAAAGACTGAGATCTAAACCAACTAGTGCAGGGGCATATTTGTGTGTGGCATGAGGAGAGGTAAAATAAAGCCACCTAGAGAAAGGAAGGAAAAAAAAGTCGTCTTTTGAGAGGGCTTTTGCAAAGAATACAGGCAGAAATGTTATAAAATCTGGACTAACTATGGACTAATTTTAATTACTTTACTTGGAAGAGAATTCTGAATGGCAAGAAAAAGTTCCTGGACAGCTTTAATATACAAAACAGCCAAACAAAACACAAGAAGGTACAGCTGGAGGGGGAAAAAAAAAAAAAGTAAAAAATAATATTATCCAAGATAGAAAACTAAACCCACTCGTGCCCAAAGGTAGATAAGAGGAAGCAAGCACTTGATACGAAAAGGTCACTGCCCACAGAACTGTGAGCTTCCAAATGAAAGACAGCGCAAGTTCTGCAGCTTTCACACCATCAAATCGGTATCAGAGTTCTGGCAAACATCTCAAACGAATTCAAGGAGCTCTGCTGTGTTTCTCAAGTAAAAAAAAAAAAAAAAAAAATAGTACGAATGCTGGCTGGAATAGTCAACCAGAAGGAAAAAGAAACAAAGTTAGAGGTATTCATCCCCATGACTTAGTCCATTGCTAATACACAGCATGCTTTCTGTTCTCAGAGCCAGGAGGCATCTGTGGGCCCCGAGGTGGGTATTTGTGCCAGTCAGGGCTCCGAGGAAGCTGACAGCGTAGATCTCAGTGGTGCACCTGGTAAGTGCCCCAGCCTCACCAGGCTGCAAGGGCACAGCGTTTCTGTGAGGTTTCACAAGACTGTCTTAAAGTATGCGCTGAACCTTCCCTACCTGAAGTAGGCAGAGATGGAAGCGGTCCTGGTTTTTTCATTTTTAAATACCCAACAGCATGAAAATCCAGAGTGGGATGGGGGAGATTCTTCCATAGCCTCCAGCTCAGCTGAGATGTATTTCAGCACTGTTTATGTACTTGGAATGAGACCTTCCCCATCTCGAGCGAGTGTCATGATTATCAAAGTCACATATGCTAATTCAATCATTTTACAGTGGCACAGCTTCTCCAGGAAACACTGAAATTCCCAGGCTGCTCAGATAGATCACAGGAACTGGATGTTCAAAGCACAGCGGAGACAACAGGGATTTGGACAGAGATTTCTTATATCCTCCATAACTGGTATAACCACAAATTACACAAGGCATTAGTCCCTCTGCAATTTTTTGGAAAGAAAGATCTGGTTTAGATACCTACACAAGGGACTTGCTCACATTTCTTTTCCCAGCTGACAGGCCAGGATAGTCCTAAGTGAAGCAATGAACGGAAGATGAAATGGAAGGCAGATACTGAAAAACTGCTTCACACCAGAAAATTTCAGTCTCTTGGCCTGAGCGACACTTTCTAGGGATGCAGGTACATACTGCCTTTCTTGCCACCAACGTGTACCTACTCCTTGGTCCCAGGAAGGAACGCAGTAATGTTGATTAAATCAGTTTCTGCATCAATACATGTGTCCAGTCACTCTACAGACTGGCATAGGTCTCAAGACAGTAACTGAAAGAGAAGTGTCAAATTCATCTGATGGTACCTAACAAAAGGGAATTTCTGAAACATTATATACTCACATTATGGTTTCTAATGACAGCTAGAGCGTGATTCCTAGTGGTTGAATGTCTGATTTCCTAGTGCAAGTTTTCTTAAGTATAAGTAAAAACAAAGTATTTTTAAGTGCTGAAAATATTTGAGTAATATGACTTTTATTGTTAGAGCTACTTCTAACTCTATGTTTTTAAGATGATAAAATGAAGACAATTTAATTACAGTGGCATGTAATAAGCAAAATTTGTATCTATCTCCTCAAATTGCATTTCTTGGCAGGGGGCCTGACCAAAGCTAATGTTAATGTTCTTTTTAACCACTCTTTGTAATCCTGAAGCAAATTTTGAAATTATATGCTTTAGGGAAGAAATGACAAACAATCATGTTAGCAAATGAGAAGATCGCTTTGTTTGTTGTTGCTATTTTGGTTTGGTTGTTTTTGCGCAATCACTTTGGACTCCTCCCTACCAAATACAGCCCTTTTCCCACATGTACTTCTAAATCACGGCAGGAGCAGCTTGTTTCTTCCATGGTGGGAGAGAAGTTAGCACACAGATTGCCGTTTGTGACTGAGGGCACTTGCCAGAGAACAGCTAACTACCAACAACTGGCAGTTGCAGCTGTAGTTAGCTGCTCCCTGCAGAGCTGCTACTTGGAACTCTGGTTCACACACACACACACACACACATATTCTGGCCCTGGAAGCCACTTGGGAGTTTCAACACCCTTGAGCTGGGGAATCACAACTACTTTTTGGTGGCATGAAATAACACAGTTCTTAAATCTGGGCAACACTCTCCATTATTATATCAGTAAATAAGAATTACAAATGCTAAGTCCTCCCTTTTAATTCCGATTCTTCAGTTTTCTGAAAGTCAGGGAGATCAGAGAATTAAAATATTCTTCTCAATTCCAGTGTGCCAGAGAGTAAACCATTTTTAATAGCGGCTAAGGACAGAACTAGTTATTAGGATGACTGTCTTTATTGTTTAAAAATATAATTCAAGAAAGTTAAGAAGTTAGAAATTAAGGAAGCCCGTATTTTTAAAAAGTTACTTGCTCTAGTTAATCATCTAGCTGAATAGCTTATCAGAAGTTCATATAATTGTTTTCTAAAACTGAGGGCAGACTTAAAATTGAAAAACATAGGCATAATGAACTTACAAGAGACAGGAGATCATTTACGTTGATAAATTAGCTTGGCTTCAGAAAGGTTGGGGTAACCCTCTTTTCCCTTACAGCCACGCCACTTTCACTGCTAACAAGCAGGATGATTTCTTGCCTTCTTGACACAATAGCACAGGTACGTCAGTGGTCACGTAGGATACAGACAGCAAAGTCAGTCCTGTCTTCTTCACAAAGCTCTCTACAAGCTTTGTTTTAAAAGCTGAGGAAATGTACAGCTGTATACAATAAGCTGGATAAAACTCGTAGAAAACACTATTTGTGGATCTATGAGATTCCTCCAAGGAAAAAAGCACCGACTCCTAAACAAGCAACAACCAAGAGGGACGAATGCCGTCAGTTACTTCCTCAGCAATACAGACGCCCACTGGCTTGTCCACCGCCTTTACCCTTTCAACAGAAGTTAAGCAAGGAAAACAAACAGTGATGAGTGGTCTGGTGTTTACTCCTGCCATCTACTCCTAATAATTAAAACAAGGGGCTGCAGTGGTTTGGATTTGAACATAAAAGCTCCCTGCACTGTAACTAAACTCGCTGGCTTTAGCTTCTTATCCCTAGGCATCTCTAAAGCGGTCGGCAGCTGAACTAAATCACCTGGACTGATTTAATGCTCAGCTCCTTTCCTATTTATCTGCAGCTGAAACCATGATTTGCAGATTCCTGTACAAAAGTAAAGTTACAGATGTACGTACCCCATTTTGAGTGCAAGTTATAAACGCCGAGAGTAACTTTTTTATACTGTAGAAACATACAGGTTCGTGACACTTCGTGTAACCTGGCTTTCGCCCCATCTGTTTCGCTGACATTAGGCTGAAGGCAGAGCGGTTCTGAAGTTGTGTTAACAAGCTAGTATGCTTTGGTGAGTGAGGGCAGCGAAAAGCAAAGATAAGCAGGACTACCAGAAACTCTGCTTAGCTCTTCTGAGAGTGAAGCTGGGGGATTGTCTTTTGTTTTGTTCTGAAAAAAAAAAAAAAACAAACTGTCCATCTGTTAATATTGTACCTCCCCCTCAGCTGAAAGTCCTCTTTACACTAACAAACAGATCTAGAGATCTTTCACTACAGCATGACAGGTACCTTATACATTGATATCCAAATGTTTCACACTATAGAAGGAAATTTTATTTCAGTTTTGACCCAACTAAGTTTTCTCCAGCTTGCCATTATCTGTTTCAATATTCCGAATGTTTCTGTATTTCAGTAATCTCTGAACGTTGCTACCTCAACAACAGTACTAATTCCTGTAAGACTGCAGCGTTGTGCCAAAAATTTTAGCAGTGACAGCTTCTTACACTTACTGTTATCAACTAAAAAGCAATGGCTGTAGACCAGCATATGTGAGCAGGAATAAATGCATGCACCAAACTGCTAAAGACCATTGCTTGAATTTTGAAAGCTTTATAAAGAGCTGGACCCAAGGATCATGGAAACCAGAAGTGGTAAAAAGCACCTCACAACAGGGAAAGGGCTCCCACCATATCAGGTCTTTCTTCCAAAACAAGCAAATCAAACACCTAGCTTTAGTTTTTCTCTTTATTACTTGGTTAATAAACATCTTTGAGGCAATTATCTAGAATGCTCTCATAAAAACAAAGCTTGTTTTCTCCCTTTAAAACCTAACTTTTAAAACTAGAATCTTTTTTAAAAAGAAAAATGTTAAGCTGTTGCTTTACAACTTTTTGCTAAAAAAAAAATTCACACATTTCTCCTATTTTTTCAAAAGTCCTCAGCAAATTTGAAATGTTTTAAGATTTGCAAAAGTAAAAAAATAGACAACTAAAAACAAACAAAAACAAAAAAAAAACCCCACACACTTACCAAAGCTCAAGGTAATTCTGCTTTCCATGTCCCAGTCTTGCCAGATTTGTTGGTTCTTGATTTTACTTCATCCATGTTTATCAGAACAGAAATCACTTTTAGATGCTCTCCATGCCTCAGATAACATCCTACGAAAATTTCCAATATTTACAGCTAGAGAAATTATTTTACCTCATCAGTTTCGAGTGCAGTACCTTCCTCTCTGGTATTTCATCACTCTTTTATTTAGTTATGCAAATATGTAACCATTGTGTTTTCATCGCCCTGGCCCAAGAAATGTCAGGAATGCTACGCTGCGGCTGCGCTAAGCAAAACAAGATACTATAAAGAAAAATACTAGGCACTGCCTATGGCACATCACAGAGTATACACTGTGGAGAAGCTGTGGTTCCACATTTCTGAGCTTGGTCCTTACGTACGCAGAGAAACTGTAACAGATTCTGAAAAATATGTACACATTTTATTGGGAGCTGGGGCAATGGATGGAAGAGCACTTATAAATTTTAAGGTAACATAAATGCATAATATTTTCCTTTCCATAACTCCCCAATCTGGGAAAACTCTATACACATTTGCAAGTCCTTTTCTTCTATACACAATAACCCAAGTCTCAAAATTAACAGATATACCTAATGCTTCCAAAACCTTAGAGATTCCTCAGTTACTTATTAATCACATTAAAATAACTCTGGTAGGAAACCAGTAACTTTAACAGGAAAGGTGCATTCAATATTGTAAAACATTTGTAATATACAGTTTTTACAGCAAGTAATACACCACTGTAGATCTACAAAGATTACTTTTTTTAATAAGCTTGGCTCTTTACCATCTCATGATCCTCTTTAAATAAATATTTAACAAAAGTTTCTCACTTCTAACAATGGAAGCAACATCACGGATAAAGAGAGTATCAACCACGTTGCAGAAATGCTACAACAAAGCCCCTTTCACCCGCCAGTCTTGAGAGAGCAAATCTTGCAATTCTTCTTCATCTTCACTACCAATAGCCTCATCCTCTTTCTCTTGTGTTGCTCTTAGTCTCATGGCTTCCTTTAATTTCTCCTTCATAAGATCCTGGCGGTTACGCAAAAGCTCAACACGGCGATAACATTCACTGTTGAAAAGTAAACCACCTATTAACATTTGTGGCCTTTCCACATTAATTGGATATTCTACAGTGCTGGATTTTGCTTCTCCAACTTTGGATAACAAAAGCTACACAGCTTCCCATCAGTTAAAACATAAGCTTCCAATATGCTAGTGCGCCCTCTCTGTGCTAATCAAGTGGAAAGAGACCAGGGAGGAGAAGCGTGGTCAGTTCTCTAGCAATGAGATCTAATCCAAATATTTAACAACTGCAATACCACCACAAATCATTTCTTTAAAAAAGCACAGAACCAATATCCACTTCCACACAAGAAGAAATGCCATTCTTTGCTCCACTTATGGTTTTCACCTATGGTAGAAAGGTGAGATATCAGCTGGCTATCGATGTTGATAACTTAGTGGTGGCATCTCTGAAAATAATAAAAAAGCAGCACAAGTGTTCAGATTCTTTACCTGCTTACTGTGTGCTACGGCAGAATTTTTTAAGTAAACAGTTTTCCATTTACTTAAGAACTTCTATCCTTGAAATATGTTTTATAACAATTATTCTAGCCATTTTAACAGGGTGTTTTATCGAAAATGACAAGTAGTTCAACCTGATTTAAATACATCTTTGCTTCTTCCATTCCTATTTGCTATGAAGAGTCAACATGGAAAGATTATTATCTGGATCCTGCTTCCCCTTGTGTATCTGCATTCTTACAGGCAGTCACAGCGGAAGATTTGAAGGCTAAGGAAAACATGAATGTCACGAGAGTTAATTTGATTTTGAATTTAATTTGAAATAGCCTGCATTTAAATACACTCCGAAGACAAACCTACAAAAACAGTCTTTAAAAATCTATTTAGAACTTTTATTTTGGAGAAAATTATGGCAACAAACCTGAAATTCTCTACAAGTTTCTGAATTTGGTTCTATGTACTATAGCATCCTAAGCTACTGGGAAAAATGAATGCTCAAGGATAGCCAAGTTTAGCTCAAGCCCTCTCCAAAATTACATGAACATTGTTAAACACATTCTTGTACTACCAAAGCTCCGTCTGAACCCAACGGTATTGTTATTATAGTCTGATTACCTGTAGCATGTAAATCTGTCCAGATGGCTTAAGCGTTACTTTAATTTTTAGTGTCTTCTTTTTGTTGCAGGTTTCATTAAAATCAGAATTCATCTTTTTCTTTTAAATTGCACCATTGCCATATTCACTGTTAATTAACGTGTTAAGCTATATGATAATCGTAACAATCCGTTCCACTAAGCTGTGTTTCAGGCTACTTAAAAGTTTTAATTAATGCTTATCCAACCGCTACACCTACCATTTCAACAAAACAAAACAAAAAACCACTTCATGTAATGAAGTGCACCATTCAACACAACCTTTAAGTAAACGTTTATTAGAAACAAGGAGGGTTAGTCACAGAACAGGACATTTTCTGTACAGCAAAGGGATGGCCAAAACACAAGTCCCGTTATCAAAACTTTAATTGCAGTGCAGAATATCAGACTGTGATTTTTTAAAAATGCTCACAAATTCTGTATCAATAAGAATTCAGAGAGAAATACAAATTAAGACATTTTGCAGGGGGAAGGGGGACAGTTTGTTCGCAGAATTTGCTTTCTATTGCTTTATTTTGCCCGTGCCTGCTTGCTGTACCTTCAGTGACTCTAGTGCATTCTCTCTTTGCAAATAATTATATAACTTTCCACCAAAATGAATGTTTTAATTAGGTATCATTCTGGAGTTTGAGGGAGTCTGTCCTTCCAATATCTAGGTGATTAATGAAAGGTAGCATCACAGAAGGTTAAAATTAAAAGTGTTTTTATCAGTCTAGTCAAATAGCAAACCATTATTGCTGGAGAACAGAAAGCTTGAGGAAAAATTGATCTACTTACATCTGCTCATCAATTTCTCCAATCTGACGATCTAGTCGTCCCTCCTCATCCTCTTCTGCCACTATTGCTTCTGAAATCTAAATCAGAAAAGTGCTAAGAAAATTCACCTTCATCCTGAATTCCACTGTTGTTCCTTTTTGATGTCTGTCTTCCCTTCCTCCCCCCTACCTCAAGTCAATGTTAATCTCCTATACGTATGCCCCCACCTTCACAAAAGACTCTGGAGGCAAATACAGAAAAACACCTGATCTGGTTTAATTTGAAATTGAAATCTTTTTTTCTTAAAACTAAAAGTAGTTTGGCTGCTTTGGGGTTAACCTTTCGAATATTTCAATACACTGCTATTTGAAACTGAGCATAAACAAACTACAGCATCCAAAGTCTGAGGTTGAAATAGGAGGTAGATCCCAGTGCCTGGGACTTAATTACTCACTCTTATTGAAAGTATTGGTTAAATATTCCCACTAGATCCCGAAGTGTTTCTAACCTGTTATTTTTTTCAGCATATACTTTCTCAAATCTGAATGTCTGGGAGATGCTATGCAATCAATGGTCCACGCATAACTGAGAAGATTCCTTCTAAGCTGAAGAATTATCTGAATGGCTAATGCTAGCAAAATGTATCCACCACTGCTTTTGTATGAACATTTGCTCTGTTTATAGTGCTGACCGCTTTAAAATGAGCAATGATAAATTTTCTTGCACCACTTTTCTTAGCAGTTGACATATGAACAATTATTTACGATTAAAATTTAAAAACTAGCAGATATTCTAGCAGAAGATTGAGAACACCACGTATCTTTAGTGACAATTTTATGTTGTACAAAAGGGCAGATAAAAACCTGTTCTGGGAGGACTTTCCATGCAATGCTAGACAGTAAAAAATGGAAATACAGAAAAATTGTGGCCAACTTCTGTGTCTCACATACAAAATCTTTTGTCACTTTTCCAAATTTTGGGGTTCCTTTCCAGTACATTTAAATTAACCATAAAACCCAGGTTACCTACACTTTACAGATCCTTTTTAAAAAAGACAAACAGGTAGTATTTTGTTCTGTGTTTTTCAAGGTTAAGATATATCAATATATCTCATCTAAAGCAGAGTCCACGATTATGTCCTGTTTGAATACAGGATGCTGATCTGAGGTATATGCCATCTTATTTAAATACAAATTAACAAATGTAACTAGGTATATATTGATGACTGGATCCTGATCAAAAGTTTTTTCAACTTAATTTCCCTTAAAGGAGAAAACAGAAGGAACCTTTTGCTCATTTATAAAGTGCATTTAACCACACACTGCATTGCAACAAACAGCTAACAAATGCAGATGTCAGTCATTCTGCAGAGCTGCATGAAACTGTTGTTTTCCTTATTGTGTATAGTATTTAGAATCAATAAAAATAGATTCCATTACTTACTGTGTTGACCTGTCGCATTGCCTTTTGAAATTCATCCCATTCTTTGTCCATCTGATCCTTTGGAGCATCAACTTTTCGCACCTAAGGAACATGAAAAAACAGTCTTATTAACGATTTATGTCCAGTGACTCTTTGGGGCACTGTAAAACACCTGGACAAACAGGGCAAATTATGCCACGCTCTCAGAAAAGTCTGGGTGACATACTTCAGTTTAAGTAATGTTTATGAGTAAGAAAGTCCAGCTGCACAACAGCTTTGGAAGAAATATCTGACTCTACTCTTGAATGAAAGCAACATCCTTGACTGTAGCATTAAAGAATAACTGACTAAGAATGGATGGTGTGGAATATTTGGAGTAACAAAAGCAACTAAGTCTGTTAATGTGATGGTCTGTAATTTCACTGTTAGGTGATAACTTTTAAATTCTGTAAATTGCCTGTTCAATCGTACATAGTATCAATCTCACAAGTCAAAAAGCAGAGAATTATTTACCTTCAACATAACATAAAATATCGAATGATTCAGTCGCCAGTCTGACTGGTGTTAGTGTGACTATATTTCAAATCTAGTCTAATGTTGTTGGCTAACAGAAGAAATAGTACAGCTACATACCTAGTTTAATGACACGCAAAGCTTTTTCTTCTGTGATAGATAGCATTAATCACTAAGACAAGACGACTAAAAAAAGTAGTAGCTGTAAGAATGCATTTAAGATCTACAGCTAAGGTAATCAAAACCAGATTCTGCTTTTAATACAAGCAAATAAACAAGATAATATTCCTGTGTAACCAAAACTTCCACAATTCAAGACTGGAAGATGTGACATGTAACATACGTTAGATGACTGATTATGCCTGGCTCTGGACTGTGTGGAAATTATATAGCTAAGAGAACTAAGCAGTTTGAACA